CTATCCATGATAACAAAATTGTTTTGCAATGTTCACGATTCACGATTAACCCGATGTCAAGGTTGTCAGTTTAGAAAAGGTTAGGTTTATTTGTATTTCAAAATAAATGTTAGGTTATAGACACCGTAATTGCATTTAATTTAATAATTTAATTTGTACTATGTAGAGTACAATACATAACATTCAATTTAATGTTATATTTAAGAAATAATTTGCATAATTTTTTGTATTAATTGCACAGCAATAAATTTTATAAAAAATACTTTATATTGTTTTATATTTCAATGTTCAAATATATATCACTGATTTATTAAAATGGATGATGCAGAAGTAATAGAGCACTTTTTTGGAGTATATTTACTCTATAGTATGAATCCTAAGTATAAAGGAAGGACATACATAGGATATACTGTTAATCCTAATCGTAGACTTAAACAACACAATCGTGGTAAAGATGTTGGTGGTGCTTGGAAAACAAATAATAGAGGACCATGGTAGTATTCTTTCTATTAATTATACAATATGAAATAATTTTGTAATGTTATATTTTATAATATACTTTTAGGAAAATGGTATTGATTGTTCATGGTTTTCCAAATAGTACAGCGGCACTCAGGGTATGTTTATTAACATTTATACATAGTCAATAGAAAGGCAAATGTAAGCAACTGTAAGAAATAAGAATTAATTAATCTTTATTTTTAGTTCGAATGGGCTTGGCAACATCCTCATGTTAGTCGCCGTCTCAAACATGTACCCCGAAAACGATCACAACAAAAAGTATTTGAGTTTTGTCTAATGATTTTGTCAGAAATGTTGAAAGTTGGTCCTTGGTGTGGCTTGCCTTTGACAATTCGTTGGTTGGATTATGAGTTTTTTGAAAACCATTCTAGTTCTATCACAGCTCCAATGCATATGCCCATATGCTGTGGGAAAATAATTTCTCAAAAGATACAAACAAAAGCACAAAATGGTGCTAATAATGGTTCAGAAAATTTAGATTTAGATAACTGCACTACATTTTGTTCTGTATGTGGTTTATTGGTAAAAGGAAAAGAATCAGTCCACTGTGTAAAACCCAGTTGTCAGCTAGTAGCGCATTTAATTTGTTTAGCAAATTTGTTTTGCAAGGATGGCATGCTTTTACCAGTAGATGGGACTTGTCCATCTTGCCATACTAATGTTTTGTGGGGTGATTTAATTAGGAAAAAATTTGGTTGTTATGGGGACTTGAAAGAAGTCAATGATGATGATGATCATGTATAATCTCAATGATGTAAAAGACGTAAATTATTAATTTTTTTGCTATATAAAGTAATTATAAAACTAGAAAATTATAGTGATTATCAATGGATTCAGCAACAATTGTCTTCCCCTTC